GCAGAGATAAAAGCTCTCGGTCAATATCTATTTTCTCGAGGACACTGTCCACTGTTGAGGGCGTTGTGGGTACTTTTCCTATGGTGCAAACATCTGAGACTTGTACGTAGTCATGAAGTGATGCTATGGCTGCTCCCTTCGCCACATGCTGTACCTCGTTGGTAAAGTTAGTCAATAGCACATCAGTATATCCGTTCCGCAGGTTCACTAGACCTCTCGCCACGCGTATCCCCTTTGTGAGTAGCAGTTCGATATTTCCATCAGCTAGTCCGGCATATTCACGAAAAACGTCGCTTTTGACAGAAACTGTCGCGCTGCTACGTGGTGGCACTGTCACACCTTCATCCACAATACGAAGACACGAAACAATTGGTTGCTCCGCATGACACACGGCAACAGCGTTTTCTGTAGAGAAAGAAACTTGGGATTTCTGCAAGTCGATGATGGCACTGTTCGCTTGCAGGAAGTCCATGCCCAGAATTGCCTCACGGGAACATTCGGGGAGAACAATAAAACTGCAGACGTACACATGGCCTCTTATTCCCCCTCTCGCTGTGCACATTCCTATGGGGCTGACTAAATGCTCTCCGGCGGTGCGTATCTGCGGTCCGGTCCAATGAGTGAGCACTTTCTTCAGCTTCTTTACGAGCATGCTACTTATTACTCAGTAGTCTGCACCTGTGTCTATTAACGCTATGGTTTTAACGTCGTCGATTCTGACTTGTAGCTCGGATGTCACGTCACTATTACTGCGCTTGTCCGTCCTTGTGTCAGTGTCGTCGTCTGATCCGGTTAGCGATGGAGGGTTTTCAGTTTTCCGGAAATCAGCGGCCCTGCCTCCACAGGTCGCTGGTTCTAGTTTTCCCGTCGCGGGCTTGGTGAACGACGCTTCGGGAAAGTAGATGATGGTTGTGGACTCGGCGACCTATTGCGCATTGGTGCAATCGACCGCGATTCATGTCACTGAGCGTTTGGATATGCTAGCGCGAAGATAAATATTCTTCGATTTAGTAAGGGCGCTCACCGTTACGAGGGCAGGGTGCATTCACTGAGAAGCCACGTAGCCCGACCCGATGGTAGTGGCATGTCCGATAAAGATGAACTGCCTCCCCACAGTGGTAGCAGAGGGGCCGCTGGTCTGCCGTGCGCCATACATCACTTTTGCGGGGTCTCGCTTCTGGCATCGGTGGTGGCGTACTGCGAGAAAAGGTCGGTGGCATAACGGAAGCTTGTGCAAAGCTCGGGCGTCTCATGTCTTGCCGTACGACTTGCGCGTACGACAGCTGTGGCTGAGGTTCCAGTTGCGTGTGGTGTGGCACCTGAGGCTGCGGTTGAATAATTGATTGCCGCACTTCTTCACGTACAACGTCCGCGATTGAGGGCATCGCTGGAGGGTTTTGGGGGAGTTGCAGTTTCTGGAGCTCCTCCTTAACAATAGCCCTCACCATTTCCCGGAGGACGTCAACGTTGGTGGGGAGGGTTGTTGACTCCGCCCTGACTGAAGAGACGTTGAAGTCTCTGTTGTACAGTCACGCACGTTGTTGTAGTGTCCTTTCCTTGGTCGTTGCCTCGGACCGGAACTCCGCCACAGTTCGCGGTGATTACGCACCAGGCCTGCAAAAATCTCTTCTTTTACTCCGCGCATTAGGTGCCGCAACTTCTCGGCCATGTTTTGGTCGGCTTGGCGGAAGAGCCGCGACATGTCTTCTATGTACATGGCCACGCTCTCGTTATTCCGTTGGTTCCTTGCATGAAGAGCAGCCTCTGCCTTCTCTTTGTGGTCCGTGTTCGGATAGGTTGCGATTAGCTCTCGTCGGAAGTCTTCCCACGACAGCAAGGACGCTTTGTGGTTCTCAAGCTACGTACGTGCCGAATCTTGCAGGGCGACGTAAACGTAACGAAGTTTTCGGGCTTCGTCCCAACCATTCAATCGTGCAACGCGCTCGAAGCCTTCAAGCCAGTCCTCGGCATCTTCAAAGGTCTCACCGTGGAAGACCTCTGGTGTACGTGGCGAATCCACAATGAGGTGAGATGGAGATGGCATCGACTGGGTGGCCATCGCAGTGACGCTTGTGCTTGAGGTCTCGACAGGTCTTGATGGGTCAATTAGGGGGCCGAACTCGGGCTGCTCACCACGTAGTCGGCGACTCATGCGTTGGTGCACAGGTGTCAATTCTGCTGGATCTTCTGGGATCTGGGCTCCTCTCCCTTGCCTGTGGTGGGCTTGGAACCATACCCAGCCGTACACCAGATTGTTACGGATAAATATAGCACCTGGTACTATATAAACTCTTTATTTAGGGCGAACTTGTGCCCGTAAACTCAAAGCTAAAAATGGTCAGCCAAGAATGCCTCTTGCTCGCTGACTCCAACTTCGTCGGTCTCTTCCTCTGCCCCTCGAGTCTCGTGCTGGTCCCGTGGCGTAGCATCATGGCGCGTGCAGGACGGCGTTCCATGGCGCGGCTTTCTTGCTACTTGCTTGGCGGCTTTTACGAACGCGAGTTGTGGCAGCGTCTTCTGCGATGTTTGAGCTGTGGCAATATATATATATATATATATATATATATATATATATATATATATATATATATATATATATATATATATATATATATATATATATATATATATATATATATATATATATATATATATATATATAGCATCGAACGCGTAATTCGAAGGTCGTAGGTTCGATTCCTGCTCACAGTTGGTAATTTTTTCATCCACTTTTCTTTCTTCTTATTTACATTACATTGGTTTAATAACTTCCCCTGTACATTCCTTCGCATTACTGTCTGTTATATCTCAATAATATTGTGTTAAAACACGGAAAAACGAGCCCTTAGGTATACACTTCTTTCCCTTATATATATATATATATATATATATATATATATATATATATATATATATATATTGCCACAGCTCGAATACACACACACACACACACACATATATATATATATATATATATATATATATATATATATATATGTGTGTGTGTGTGTGTGTGTGTGTGTGTGTGTGTGTACAACATCAGCAATTGGCGCAGCTGTACACGGTGTGGTGTATGGGCGAGCTAGCTACTTTCATGCGTATACTTTCCCTCGCTCTTTACGAGTAATCCAAAAGCCATTTCCTTGCTACAGCGCATCGTTCTACTTGAACCCCCTATGTCGCGTTCAGCCGAGAACACATAGGAGATAGCATGGAGGGAGGAAAGGGAAGTAGGGGCAAAAGGTAGTCCTCTTTATTCAGCTAAAGGAGGCAGTTAATGTGTCATATAACTTTATTGTCTCGAAATGGTTTAAAATGTAGTGTCATGGCCCAGCAGCAGCTTTTTGCCAATAATAATGAAAAAAACTGCGTGGCCTATTATTGCAAACATTGTTTGTACCTACTTTTTACCCCCCCAATGTTGCAAACCAAAAGCAGACCATCATGAGAAGTTTGTATTAGCTAGGGACATATGAAAACAAAAGCAAAAGGTGACACAGACGCCAAGAAAGGTCAGCGCTTACCTTTCTTGACGTCTTTGTTGTCTTTTTCTTTTTTTTCTATTTTCATATGTGCCGTGCAAATACAAGGTACGTCCATAGATAACCGACTCGCCCGAGCTGAAAAGCATTTGAACGTCATGAGAAGTACCTCCCTGTTTTAGTTTTCTTTTTGCATACAGTGTGATTTTGTGTTCTCCAAGTTAGAAGGGGGGGTGGGGTACTATTCTTGGCAGGCTGAACTATGCGAATTCACGTTTGTTTAGCCACTGCTTTATGCTCTCTAACCGTCCATAAATATCGCAGTCTTTGTATAGTCCTACCTTTGAAGATTCAGAAGTAAGGATAATACCGTCGCCATCTTTTACCAAGCTGGTTTATAAGTGATACGTAAATATCGAATAATATTCTTGATAGCCTGTGAACTTGTTCTGCTTCTTTGCTAACTCTTTCATAATACTGACAGTAAAATGAAACAAGAGGAAAACAATTCAAGCAAGAAGGATTTGTGCTCAAGCAGAGAACTCATGAACAGTTGGTAATAGCAATGAGGAAGCATATATACAAATGGCCATGTTGTATTCGGAAAAAAGCTCTACATAGTTACAGGAATCACAAATATAGCGTGGATGTACTGGTGAATAGATGGCGGTGATGGATGATGAGATGAAAGAACGCGCACAACCATACATGTTTCGCAATGGGACATGACAAGACAGATGGCTTGCTTCGTTTGCACGTGAGTGAACGGAAGGAGTACAAAGAACAAAGATATGACGTCATAAACAATATAACAAAAGGCAATGAAAGCAAGAGAGTCAACACAAAGAAGTTACAGCATCGTTTTTTTACGTGGGTGCTGTGATCGCACTTGTAATTGTACAATATAAAACCCGTAACCCTCATTGATAAGGCGGGCTATTAAACTTCTAAGACAAGAGAAATGTGGTGTACACGATCAACGTTTGTCAGGCTCTGTTTTCCTCAAAAGGTATGGCGTACCGCCCAAATGCGGGTGAGAGAACCTTGTCTGGGGCACTGAAAGTAAAAGCAAGTAAGATCTTGTGTTTGTAAGAGGGTCGAACATTTTTATTGCGGACGTTTGTATTTCGAAAGTTAGAACATATCCGTTGCGAAAACTTTGCCAATGCATGAACTTTTATACAGTAACGCTGGGACATTCAGTGCACATGTAAATATGTACTCGTTACTTCTCTTATTGGTAATTTAGGTAATGACAGTGCGGTGGGATAACCATCGTGTAAGAAATGACGAGCAGCCAGGAAACCGACTTGTACACTAATCTCTCCTCAAGTACACTTTTCCAAAAAAAAAAAACGTCACACTTACATTCACCTTCCTTTTGTCGGCGTTCGTGTTTATTCGCTATTCGCATATTGAAAACCATGCAGGCAACTTTTCAACATGCCAATTAACAGCTTCAATTTTGTGCGGTGGGGTGGGAGGTAGAATGTAGATATGGCATCATCATGAATTCATGGCTACGGGTTTCCAGGCAACTTTTCTTCCTGGACCACTTTTTTTTTTTAAATTGGACTCGTGTACAAAGGCCACAAAATCAGCACCGGAATCAATATGTCGTAGTGGAAGCAGGGTGACAGATTGATAGCATGATGTAAGATGAAGAAATAATAAAGCACACATGCAGGCACGTGGGTGTTGAGTGACGGATCTCGATTACCGATAAAAAACTGATATATAACGTTGCCTGCTCGTGTAAACATTCATGTATATAAATACACAATTGCACAGTATGTTTTATGGTTTTCTGAACTTGTGTAAAAAAGTGGACGTGCCCGATGTTTTATAATGTACTCATAGTTTATCAAAATTACTTCGTACCATTTCCCTTTACGAAGATAACCCGTTTTTCCCTGCCTTCGACAATGTGTCCTTTAGGATTATAGCAACAAAATATAATAAATGCGAAATTCTCTGGGCTTGAAACTGTTGGCTTCGAACGGGTCGTATCATTCCAATTTACGACCACAATTTTCAACGTGTACAAAGTATGCTAATTGAACGCTATGTCTAGGGTTTCTTTCGGAGTGAGGTGGCAACCTCGATGGCCAGCTCGACCAGACTGGGTGTCCTGGCCACGTTGGCTGCCAGAGGTGGCAGCGGGGGCTGCTCTTGGCAGTTTGGAGATCCACGCGAGTAGGGTCCACAGACGAGACCCAGTACTTGGCCGAAGACTCGATCCATGACGGTGGTGATATACTCGCGTGCCGGCGAGTCTGGCTCGTCGCACTCGGCCAACGCCGCTTCGACGCAGTCAACCGTGCTGTGGTACGAGCTGCGAGAGAACAGGGATGAACAGGGGTGAAGCAAGAAAATATATATGAAAAAACAAATAATCCACAAACGTTATGCACGTGAAATAAAATGCGTGCTGTTTAACTCTGGTAAACCCGGTTTCGATGATCGAAAAAGTATCCTTCGTTTGATTTCGCAAAGACTATGTAGACAGGCCGTTGCTGTTGCAGCACTGTTCTTGGCACGGTTCCGCGTTTGGTGGGATTCTTCATATTGTGATAATCTGGCTTCCCTTTTCTCATGTGTTTCAACGAGCATCTTCACTTTTTCTTCATATCTCGTAGCCTGCAGTCCGGCTACATATAGTGAATAACTTGATTCAGCATGTTCTTTTAAGTGGAGAGCATGTGCCAACGACCCAGCGGCTGCACTGTCCGTGAGCGACCAAGTGCCAGCAAAAGAGCCGTTGAATGTTCGCCTGGTCGTATGGTACCACAGCGACGTCGCTCCGGGGGAGCGCTGCTTTCCAACAGCACTCAAGACTGGAAAGTGTGGCGGGACATCACGGCTGCCGCACTTGTGCCCCGGTGGCTACATTGCGACAGGCTACCTTGAGTGGCGTTACGCAATAATGTTTTTGCTCTTAAAAGTTCATATAGAACACACAAGCGCCTAGCCTGCATCCTTACATGTGTTTTTTATTGCTCTTTTGTGTTATTTGCGGGAAATAAGCCGGAGAAAAGTCTAACGGTCATGGACACTCTCGTTTTGAAAACGTGTTTCGGCATTAAAGCAGAGTTAACAGAAATTAAAAAAAAAACTTAAAACCTCATCAAACGGTACGTGCAGAGTTTGTGAACTTAATTCGTAAACGATCCTCACCTTCAACTATGTTCATGAAATTTGGACAAGGCTAAGTGAATATTGATCAAAGGTTTGTCCAGTTCAAAAACAACCTAGCACGTTAAATGACGAACTGACTAATTGATTGATCGATCAACCGATTGATTGATTTAATTACTTCGGCCACGTCGATATACGATAGGAGTTTCAACAACCCACTCGGCACACTTTTCAGAGAATATTGGCGGAGCTCTTTCACAATCTACAGTATACTTGCCAGGACAGTTTATTGCTATATAAAGGCTGTACATGTGTCAGAAACAAAAATATTCGGCTCACCAGCAGGAATAGTAGACGATTTCTTCTCGTTGTGCGCTGGTCACGGCTGTCTGCAGACCCTCGTAGAGGTTCTTGATGCACACGTTCAGTTTGGACCCAACAGAGTTCATGCATTTGATGCTAGACATGTACACTGCACGAAACAATAAATGAATGTGAGGTTACCAAATTCTCTTTTATTTACATCTCTATGCCGTAAACCTCTGGTTTCCTAACTATATAGGTTCCTTAACAATGTAGTCTCCGAAACAAAACCTCAAATTTATGTTATTTCTATCATTCTACAACGAAGTTTCTATCACATGCAAGTATTTGCCGCGAGTACGTCATCTGCTTAGAAACAATTTTAAGTATTCTTGTATAAGCTGAAGAAACCGTTATGCGTGTGGTTCAATGCTGTGCAACGGACAATTGCATTTAAGTGAACATTTGATGTGCAACTGGCTGTAAAAATGCAGTTAGTACTGAGGAGCCCTATAGGACTCGGATTCCGTGTACTTTTGTTGTTCGTCAGTAAAACCATATAGCCATATGCAAGGCTTGCAACTCGCCACCAGTACGCTAAAAATGAAGAAGACATCACAAAGCCGGCCAACACAAATTAAGATCGTACACGAAACCCAAAGAAGATGCTGCAAGCCACAAAACGCAATGCATGTCGCGAAACAGAATGTTCTGTAAAAAAAGACTTAAGTATCGTTCTTCTGAAATAGAAAACTTTAAACGTGCATACATTGTTTGAAAACTAGCGTTCTTGAGACATTTCTTATTTAGTTTTGGGGTGTGCAATCCGCTGCAGGGATCTCCGTGTCGTGCGCCAAGCGACCTCACTGGCTATCCAGTTTGAGAATTGCGAAACTCACATTTTGGCGATAAAAAATGCAAGGAAAAAAAGTACGGTTATGGCAGTGCGTCAAATGGGAGTCGGAGTAAATCAGCCATCGTCCGCTTTACAGGTACCTTCAAAAGTTGCTATAATAATCTAGTTTGATTTTATTCGGAGATATTCGCCCAGTTTTTTACCCTTTGCTATTCAAGTAAATATGGGAAGACGTATTTATTGCTCAACGGATGACTTAGCCTGCATATCCGGCTCCATTTTCCGAAATTCTAAAAAAATAGTGTATTGTTAAATAAATACAAAATGTTCCAATATCTGGCAATTTGTTTCAACAAATATATTCAGTTGAATGGGTATGGATTGCCAAGTGAATAAAGAAAGATAGGAAGTAGCACCAAATTCACTAAATAGTTCTGAACAACACTTTCTAAGATGCACTTGAACTTTTCTTAAGGTTCAAGGGAATCTGTCATATGAGGACAGAATTATCAGAAGCAGCAGCCCTACTGTAACATTCAATATGACAATTTGAAATTTCCATACTCTAAGGCGAAATTTTTACGCAAATATGTGAAAAATATATAAAAATTATAGGGGAAAGTATATAAAACATGAAATAGATATGCATTGTGCAAGTAAGTGTAAGCAATGGAATCAAGTAGGTTTCAGTGGCTAGGCTATTGAGAGAAGTTTCACAAAAAAACTTCACTTGTACTCCTGCTTTTCATCAGAGAGAAATATTCGCGTGCATTACGGGCAGTTCTCAAAAATGACAAATAACATTATTGTTATAACTCACATTGGTTGCGGTCATTGCCCTCGGTGCAGGCGGCTTCAAAGTCCTCCTCAGCGGCGTTCAAAGCCAGCATAGTCACTACGCGGGCGATGTTCTCCAGGCATCGCTCGCCAAATTTTTTAGAACATTCGATCTGCTTCAGGTACAACCTGTAAGGATAGTGAATACGTGTGGGTTAGAAGAGTATTTTATGAAAGCGGAGTAAGCTCACTCGTAGAATATGGCAAATGATAAAAAATAAAGGTCTGCAGAAACAAAATGTATCATATATTGTGCGCATATTGGGAATCGATGCCATGCAAAAGAGGTCATCGAGTAGCAGTCTATGCGGCGTTTTTTTTTAATGCGAAGCATGTCTTTGCACACTGCAGTCAAATTTAGCATCAACATAGGTACCTGTCAATCTATCTAGGCGCCTACGTTTGGGTGCGCACGTGATTGTTCTCTCATCTTGGGGTAAACCAAAATTAGTATGGGATGGTGAGATGGTTTGACGAACATGACTCGCTGGTCATCACATTGATAGTGTCACAATCTTATTGTGTACGTCATCAAACCCTTTCCCCAGACGTGCGGCACACATTCGCAAGGGGAATATGTGCCAGAGGTATGCGAGCATGAGCCACGGGTGATTGACAGTTCGTATGCACCCAAGAACAACGAGAACAGACACGAATTTTCTCAACGCGTGAGCGATGAGAAAAAGCTGACATCGGCAGTGTTTACCTCACGAATGCAAAGAATAAACGCCAGGTTCTCAGCGAAAATCGAACCCAAGCATCCTGCGTGGCAATAAAGTATTCTACCACAGAGTTGCACCAGGTCTCTGAACTGCTTTTCAAGTAGACGCTAATGTTCGTGAAAGGTCAACTGTGGTTCATAAGACTGCCTATCCAGTCTTATAAACATTACATATGTACTCCTATGATAAATCCGTAACGCCGGGTTACCGTCCATCGTGGGTAAGCGCCATCCGTTGAAACTGATTTATGTATAGAAGTGTCCAGAACCACCACCCTCGCGAACACCAGCGCTTCACATCATCTTATAGCTTATGGTAATACTCATGTTCCTGTTGCCATCATCATCATCAGCCTGACTGGGCCCACTGCCGGACAAAGGACCCTCTTATGATCTGCCAATCAGCTCGGTTTGTTCTTTCTGGTTACACTTTACACCTGCAAATCTTTTAATTTCATCAGCCCACCTGACTTTCTACCTCCCCCCTCACGTGTGGGACTTCCGTGGAAATCCAGTTAGCTGCCAATCATGAGCAGCGGTTATGTTGCCAATGTGCTACGTGCCCGGCCCATGTTCATTTCTTTTTAATTTTAACTATGATACCCTTAAGCTCGATTTTTTTCCTCATCAACTCTGCTCTCTTCTTCTTTCTTAAGGTTATTCCGATCATTTTGTTTTTCATCGCTCACTGTGTCATCCTCAATTTAAGCTGAACCTTCTTTGAAAGCCCCCCGGTTTCCGCACTGTAGGTATAAGTACCTGCAAGATGCAGCTGTTATATACCTTCCTCCTCAGGACTGGTGGTAGATTACCATTCGCGATTTGAGAATGCTTGCAGAATGTGATTCACTCAATTTTTATTCTTCTAGTTACTTCCCTCTCAGGGTTCACCTCCGCGATTACTGCCTGTTCTATTTAGACGAATTTTCTATCACTTCCAACGACTCTGCACTTATTACAAAGCGCTGTATTTTGGCGAAAGTGTTGCACATTACTTTGGGTTGATGCATATCAGCTTTCAGGCCTACTTTTATGCTATGTGTGTCCAGTTCCGGTAATAATGAGCAGTATTTTGTCCCCTGAGTTACTCATCAAAGCAATGACATCCGTGAATCGCAGGGTCCTAAGATACTCTACATTAACGCTTATTCGTAACTTTGTTCAATCTAGGACCCTGAAAGCCTTCTTTAATGACATGGTGAATGGCATTAGAGAGGTCATGTCTCTCTTTCTTACACTCTTTTTTATGGGGATTCTGTCGCTTTCTTTAGGGAGAAATATGGTGGCCGTGTATGCGCTGTAGATTTCTTCTAATATATTTACGTAGGATTCGTCGATTCCCTGATTTGGGCTCCGCCACATCCACTTACGGTGTGCCCGTTCGCTGTAAAAGGTATTCAATACTCATATTATTTACGTTCTGCGAACTTGACTAATAACACTCCTCTGCAAAACACAGACCGCTACCTTGGGCCACATCATCTGGGGATGCAGCAAAGATCTCCCCTCCCCCAAACCTCCTAGAACAGTCACCTTCAAGTGAAGCTAGGGAATCCTGACGACCACGAGTCTGGATGCTCAGCTCCGGGCCATCAAACGCGCTAACGAGGCGGCGACCAGACATGACGTGACAGCCCTGACCACTTAGGAAACCATCAGCTGCCTTAATAAAGTTGCTTACTGCTAATACTGGCATTCCTATAGAACCAATGCCATACTCCCCCGCTACATGACCTCCAGTCTGTTTTTTGCCTACTTTGGTATTAAAGTCGCGCATCAGAATAGTATACTGTGTCTTTGCTTTAATAATGGCAACCTCTACGTCTTCGTGGAAGGGTTTTACCAGAGCATATCATGCCTTTAATTACAATATATGGCTATGAATAAAAAAAGACCGAATTACATCGGTGTGCTTCGGTAGCTCTCGAGATTTCTTTGGACCAAGTTTTCTTCCTCCATGGAATGAATGCTAATATTCATTCATTGTGTCTCGCTGATTGGGACACGAGCTCTCACCCCCGCCTGGTAATCGTAACTAGCTTGCACCGATAAGCACAGATAATCCGACACAGGCTTGGCGATGAGACTTCCGGAATAACGCGTGATGTTCCAACCACTCACTTGCAGTCGTGCTCAAACTCCTGCCCACGCTCTGCCAGCCTTGTGGTGTTGCTATACACCCCGTAGTCGGACCCGCAGTCTCGCAGTTCTTGAATCTTGCAGCCAGTTTTTAGTTGGGCACGGCCTTTTCCTGCCATAAATAAGAGCAAGTTGTGTCTTGTAGCTCACGTTTGCATACCCCCCATACCAAATGTACATGGAGCAATATATTTGCAGAACACCAGAATTGCTTCTTAATCTCGAACATTCAAGATTTTAAATCGCGACAAAATGCCTAAGTGGCTGAATAATGTAATGTCTTAATGAATCAGAATTTTATCATCAACATTTCTGTCATTATTGTGGCCACTACATTATTACGCTGATCGTCAGCTGAATTCGTCAAATTAATGATAAAGTTTGTATGTTTGGCTTAACAACCGTAATAGCGCTTAAAAATTACACATGGTGCGACCATGTGGTGCAAGCTCAAAACCACTTGCTCAACGTAGCGCAATGAACGCTTCATGAAGGTGCTATGGTAGGGTAACACACTATGAACACACTGCAAAGAACAAAGGACAACTTTAGTGATAATAATCGAGCAGTGTTTCAATGAGATCCAGAGGTATTTCTAGCGAAACGATGGTTGTAAGAGCTTATGTTTTTTTGGACTTACTCAATTGCATCACTGCCATATTTAGCAATGCCATTAGATATCACAGATGCATATACAAGTTGAGAAAGACATTATACAGTGTACAATTTGTGGAAGGCTCTAGGAAAACTGAATTCTCCAGAGATTATATAGAATGATTTATCAGCGCAAAAAAAGATGGAACTTTTAGAAAAGACACACACACACAGCGCTGTTCTGCAAACATGGACAAAAGAAAGAAGGTCCGGCACGACGGCACATTTAGTTTGAGCAGGAAAAATTAGCTGCTGTCAAAAAGAACCCCAAGATCACTGAATTCATAAACGTTACATAGCAACATGGCAGTGACAGAGTTTGGAAACAACAGGATCGATGTTTTGATAGATTTGCTCACGAATTTGATCTTTTGCTTATGAATTTGCTCATGAAGTTGTGTCGTTTCGGTGTTTTCTGTTGTGTATTACCAGTTTCAGTGGAATGGACCAGTCAGAACGTGCTCTTTCGGAGAGACTGGCAAGGATCACGTATTGTGACCGCGATACACCAGGTCGCTCCACTGAAACTGCAGTCAGAGACGACGCACAAAACACAAGCTAAGCGTTGTCAGGCTTGACGAAGGCACGATGCAGGAACGACAAAAAGACTAACGCAAGCAAATTGGGGTAGTAGTAGTAGTAGTAGTAGTAGTAGTAGTAGTCATAGTAGTAGCTAACAGTAGTATATAGTAGTAGCAGTAGTGGTAGTATGTGGGGTTTTACGTAAAAAACACCATATGAATATGAAGGATGCTGTAGTGGAGGTCTCCGCAAATTTTGACCATCTGGTGTTTTTTAACACGCACTGACATTGCGCAGTACAAGGGTATCTACTTTTTCGCCTCCATGTAGACGTGACCACTGCGTCCACAATGGAACCAGCGGCATTGGGGTCAGCAACGTTGCACCCTATAGCGACTGGTCCACTGAGGCCGACGCGAAACGAGGGCTCTTTGAATAATAGCATCTCGAAGGTATTAAAAAAATGAAAATATTTACAAGTTGAGATTCCGTTTTTGCATGTTTTTTATTATTTTTCTCAGATTTTAGTCATCACACTTATCTTGAAAGGGCAGTGCAAAGACACACAGAAAAGAAAAACGTAGAGACAAAGAGCGATGTCTTTCTCTTCCCTTTGTCTTTGCGCTTCCCTTTCAAAGTGATATGAAGCAGCTAGCCCAAACTAAAGTTTTCCTCATTCGTGCTACACAACAGAACACACAAATTTCACATGCTTAGTAATGTCATGTGCAACGCTCTTAATGAGCTACCGTAAAAATGCAGAATATAATTAGGAGAAGGGACATTTTTCTTCTGTGTTGTTAGATATATATACGAAGTTCTAGTGAAGAGCGTACGGTATGGGCCGTAGGCCTACTAATGTCAACGTAAACAAGCGACGTAAAAGCAGGACCATTCCTTGCTGTAGAAGAAAAAGAAGAAGGTGTTAATTGTGAAGAAGGAGGAGAGGTTGGCCTTGAAAGCGGGTTTCTGGCCTGCTACTCCACGCGGGGGTAAGGGAAAGAGGGAAAGAAAGAGGAGGGTTTGATGAGGGGTGACTGTGGTATAGCACATTGAGTCACTGCACACAATGTCTCGTTCGGTGTAGTACACGCACAGAAGTCTCTACATTATTAGATTCTCTAAACACGGGAATCTAAACCTGTCTTGCTTAGAAATGCAAGCAGGCCCTTTACACTGCGTTGAGCGTGATCCACACGTGCCAAGCACCCAAAAGTTTCTTCTCCAAATAGGGTCAGTTGGCTAGGTCATCTGTGAGGCACTTAAAAGACTGTTTTTCAACAGCGTATAAAGAGCACACTCAGGGTGTGAATAATAGTTTCTGGGGCGTTACACAAGTTGCAGTTAGGATTTTGCTCTTGTCCTATCATGCATAAGTATCGTCGCGTGTATGCAATACCCAGCCGCACTCTATGTAGTAGCGTTTCTTGGTCTCTCCTTAGTCGGAACAAAAGGCGAAAAACACGACAAGAATCAGGCCTGTAAATGCGCTTGTGGCGATAATCCGAATCCTTCCGTAGTCCTTGCATAGATGCCTTTATACCTTTAGACAGCAAGGCGTTGATGTCGTATCGGGAAAAGTGAATCGATATCATTTCGCCACTAGTGTGCGCAATTTTCGCTTCTGCATCAGCTTGTTAATTCCCAGCTATACCACAATGACTGGGAATTCATTGCAACGCAACGGTATAGTCTCTTCCTAGATCTTGGGGCGCACGCCCGTGAGAATCGAGGGTGGCATTCATTAGAAATTGAGCGTTTTTCCGCGACATGTAATTTGGAAATCTTAACAAGAACGATCCGGAGTGCCAGTGCACCGTTACGCTTGTCAGCTCGAAATGCCCAAACCTAGTGCGTGGACCTTTGAGGTGTTCACCGATAGGAGAGAAGTCGTCCTACGGGATTTATCCCTCTGTTATGGGGTATCCGTGGTCTGGTTATTTGCACCTGCGCTGCCCTTCCCAGCCCCAACGAGACGAAAGAGACCCAGGAGAGTGTTAATTGAAAGATGGACACTTGACGCACAATTCTAGACAGTAAAACGAAAGATCACATACTGCAAATCGCACGTGAAATGCATGCCTATGTTCAATCGTTGGTAAATTTCTGGTATCTTAAACAAAATCATTTTTTGCTTCTTGCCGTAAATACCAGTCACCGACTTCGTCGCTAAGTGATATTTCGATTTTCATAGAAGTTTGTTGTGCCTATATATGATTCTGAGGGCCTTAAACAGCGTTTTACCAGTTTGTATTTGGCGCTTAAAACACACTTTTTAGTGTCTAAATATTCGGCCTTTAGTGTTGACGTGTAGAACGCAAGATGACGGGTAGGTGCCACCACCGTGTCGTCTTAGCAAAGCGTCGGAAACACTTGCCTTTTTGTGCAAGCGTTGCACGGTCAGCGCAGCGTGATAAATGCTATGATCCTTAGAATCACTTATGTATGCCTTTTCTAGTAAGAGACACACATACATAATATTGACGTGTTGTTATGGTGCTACAGATAAGAGCAATATTTGGTTTTTTTGACAAGCGCACAAGTATGAACGCTGAACCTTGAGCAATATTGGTGGGTGCTGTAGATGGGGTCGGGCGTTTGGGGTATCCTTTGGCCGCTTTGGTGCCGTTTAGGGTACCGTCAAGGGTGGACAAACAGATAAATATATAGACAGACAGGTAGACAGACCAAATTTTTGCATCGAAGGTCCCCGAGAAAGACTGTCGTCTTTACAAATCGCAGCATATCCACGTAGTGCATGATATCGAGTGGAACGAAGCCTCCGTCAGTTCGTCCACGCTTCCATCCGTACGTTCGTTCTTGCTTCCGTCCATCCGTGTGTCCTTTCATGTGACCGTCCGTGCACCGGTTCGTTCATGCGTTCGTCCGTCCGTCCATGTATCCGTCCGTGCGTCGGCCCGTGCGTCCATTCATCCATGGATCTGTCCGTCCATTCATGCGTCCGTCCATCTAGCGAACACTCCAAGTGCCACCATCTCGTATCTTTTCATCATATATTCATCGTGTAGTAGTATCGCTATCCAGCGGACGTTCCAAGGACTAAACGAGAGGTGGCGCGGCCGGACTAGAGCAGCGGCGCGCGCGCACTCTCTGACGGCCTGCACTTCGTGACTAGTTACCATGCACCTTTCACCGCCGCTAGCCAATGGCACTGCGGGCTAAACATTGCTAAAACCTAGGATGTTACGCCCAGCCAGTTTGACGCGGCAACATTTTCTGGTCAGATAGTGCTCAAAGTGCGTCCTTTTGATACTATTTGTTTTAGCAAGCATCTAATTTAAGGCAACTTTTATCAGAGATTAAGTCACCAATACTCTTCCCTGTGAGTTATTTTATTAGAAACGACGACCTCTTCATTTATGAATAATATGACTGGGTTTCCTCCTAAATTTAAATGAGTCCATGCGTGCCGCTTCTCCAGTCCGGCCGTGGAGGTGGCTAGGCACTACTACGACGCACTATTACTACATACATTGCGGACGCAGGACCCGCGGCTTAAAGTGTTTTACCCATAAAACAGTGAAAGTCTGACTACGTCAAACGCCTTGCTCATGTCGCAGTAGACTACGTTGAGTGGTCCTCTCTGATAAATAGTTGGGGAGGTTTGTGTCATGAAACTAGCAAGGTTTGTGTTAGCTGAGCGGCAAGGGAGAAAGCAGTGTTCATTAGAAATTAATTACTTATTGACGCTAACATAGAATATGTTGTGAAGAATTAGCTCAAAGATATTAGATGTGGCACAGTGGAGAAATTGTGTCATCATTACAAACATCAAGTTTGTATGCCCCACCTAACTACTGGAAGTTTTCCTACATGCTGGGAGATGTGGAAGCGTTCAGACAGTTATTAAATATAGTAGTCATTACTGGGGCAAGTAATACCACAAGCCTTTAGTATGGCGGAAGAGATGACATCTGGGCCACACGATAAGGATGCTTTCAAGCTCTTAATGCATGAGCAGATGAGCTTTTCATCCAGCGACAGACCACTTGAACCGTTCACTGCATTGTGCTGTTGTTCTATCTGAGTCCTCCAGCCTGAGGTCTTGTATACGGATGACAAATGTGTGGTCAGCAATGGCATGCACTTCGACGCCATCCTAGTCCAGTAGCCTGGAGAACTCCCCACTAGACCGTTCGCGAACATACTTAACAATAATAATCATAAAAATAGTGGCTAAGGTACCCGGCTGCGGACCCACAGGTGCCAGCTGCAGTGGCTGGGACAGAATGCCAGCTGCAGTGGCTGTATTTTCGATGGAGGCGAAAATACTGTAGGTCAGTGTGCTCAGATTTGGGTGCACGTTAAAGAACCTCAGGTGGTCGAAATTTCCGGAGCCCTCCACAACGGCTTCTCTTCTCAAACATGATAATAATAATAATAATAATAATAATAATAATAATAATAATAATAATAATAATAATAATAATAATAATAATAATAATAATAATAATAATAATAA